GAACTCAGCTATTATACCTCTCTTTAAAAAATAAATCAGTTGATTCGAAAGTTGTGGACTGCTGACGACTTAGACATGAATAAACTATTAATTATGGGCTTTTCCAACTTATCATCTTAAGGATTTTGATTGATGATGAGAGACATGGACTTTAGATCCACACATCCACTACTCGGAAAGTGCTCTTGAACGGGACAGAGGACATCCTTGTTACTTTAAACAACTAGCTGAAGAGTACCAGAGCTTTCAGTTTCCTCCATTATAGCCCCACGGCTGATGAAATGTACCCCAAAATCGTTTGTTGAGCCAAGTAAGTTGTTTTGTTTTGGAACAGGGCATTTGCAAAAATTTTACCGAAAAAAATACCAGCTGCAGTAGCTTGGATTCAAGGGCTCGATTATGGTATAGATCGGTGGAGCCGCTGCGAATAAACTTATATCTTAGTTTACTATACTACCTATATCTTATAGGTGGAGTTTATTCGTAAAGTTAGCTACATCACCATCTAGTATTTCAATATCTGCAAGCAAATGTTGATTTCGTGCCGATTTTTTTTTGGGCCGTAAGCCAAATATCTTTCAGCTTCCCTCCGGATTACACGCTCTCGGCACTCGCTTGCCTTCAGGGCCTCTTCCATGGTCTTCTGCTTTTGCCTGACGGTACTGATTTTCGTCCAGCTAAATCCCTAGTAAAATCAACGACTTCACAGAGCAACTATTCGTCATCAACCTCCACCGGCAGCAAAGATGGACCGCTGCGAATCCCATGTTCTTCGGCTCACCTAGCAGGCTTGCCAGATCGTATCAGTCGAGCCGGAGAGATGGCTAGGAGTGCGGCAGCAGCAGTACAGGTGTCTTAACCTTTACTAATTAAGTCGTTATGGTGTTTCACGTCCATTCATATGGGCCTTTTTGAAGCACAATGCACATTTTCCTAAATAGCAACTTATCTAAATGTATTTTTGTTGTTACTTTAACCCTAGCCTTATTATACCCCTTGAATTAGGTGCATTGTATTTAATATTTTTACTATTTTATAGGTGCTTGAAAATAAATCTTAGGCACTGCTTTTTGTTATCCTACATTTGCTACTGTTATTATACTATCTTTTCCATTGATTATAGGTGTTCATCGCAGATCCGTCTGCTTCTGCAAGCTCAGGATCTGGTGATACTATTGGTAGCAGTGCTTTATTAGGTCTTCCTAATTGGCAAAATGACCAATTCACTGCTGGATTGTTGTCATCAGGCACAGCTGGTCCTGTTGATGTCTATGGTCTTGGTCCCTGGGCCGACTTTGATTGGCTCAGTGCGATACGCCTCTCAGGACTTATCCTATCTGGTAGCGTACCTCATTTTAGTCCTGCTAACTCCTCAACTCAGGGGCTGCCTTCCTTCTTCTTACCAACGAAGAGCAAGGTTGGAGGAGTCAACTTTTGTATCATTACTCTCTTTATTCTCTGATTAAATTTCAATAACCTTTTCCCAAATGTTTCACAAGTTTCATGATTTTTATACTTTTACTTTATTCCTTAATCTATTCCTCTGGAATAAATTATTTTAAACGTCTTTTTATTTCAAATAACTTCACCGTCTGGTCTTGATTTTGTTAGTAGATTATACAGCTTGTAGTTTTAAAGATAAAAGTCCCTTCAATCCATAATCTCGAAGTAGAATCTTTTAATAATCTCCAGAGTCGGACTGGGGATGTGGTACATTCCCAGACGTTTCGCCGGCATCGTAGTCGGCATTGTCAGTGAGTCTTGTCAGTGAGCCTTGTCAGTCTTAGCACCAGACTATAGCTCGTCAAAGATACAAGTGATTCCGATCCTTTGATCCTGCTAAACAATTGTGGTATCTCCTTCTGCGC